TGTACATATTAAAGACACTACTGTAAAATATATAGAACCTGCTTTAAAATACTATAAATATGCTGTGTGTGACTTCCTTCTTTGCAATTACTATGTAAATAATGCAAGATTACGTTTTTAATAGTACAGTAAACTCTCGCTACAACGATACCCGATACAACAATAACTCCCTCTACTACAATAATGTTTTGTGATCCCGGTGATTTTGCATATAAACTAATGTTAATCTCCCCTCAATATTGCTATATTCTCTAGAACAATAAACCTCTGTAAAACGATTTTTTTCAATCTAAATTTCAGTATTATTTTCTCCCTTTATAATAATATTTTGATTTTCAAATGCTTTTTTTTTTTTATTTTATTTTTTATTATTTTATTTTTTCCGTCTATTAAGACTCATTGTGGATATTCAACTTATCCCTGAATAAATAGCTATTGTTCAGATTTCAAAACAGATGAAGACCACCCTTTTGGGATTTGGAGTGGGTGAGGGGGGTGAAGTGTAAATGTATGCCTAGTCTCATTTCCCAGTAAGCTTTGGAATTCTGATAAGGTTTAAGGACATCTAGACCTGTCTGGTCACCTTGTCACAGAACAAGTGCCCTTTGTTAGAGGAACAGGGGGAGATGGAGGCCGGGTGTTGTTAAGTGACGTACTGAAAAGTGAGTTCAAAGGTTGTTTTATAGTCTTTAACGATTTTGAGTTCTACGTGAAACATTTGGTTTAAACTTTTCTTTCTTTCATGCGATATTGTTCCCTAAGATGGCAGGGTGAAAGCAACTATCGTTTTGAGATAAACTGAACATTATCAATGATATTGATGAGGGAATGAAGCAGATTGATGCAGCTAAGAAACATGGATTATTGCAATCTACAGTTGCAACGTTCCTAAAGAAGAGAAAGCAAATTGAAGATGCTGTAACTTCAAATGAAATTAACCCAGAACGAAAACGACTAAAAGTTGCAACAAATGAAAACATTGATGCTGCTGTTTTAAAATGGTTTCAAGAGATGAGAGCAATAAATGGACCTTTATTATGTGCAAAAGCACGGAAATATGCAGCAATGCTAGGGAACAAAACTTTCAAAGCTAGCAATGGTTGGTTAATGCGTTTTCGAGATCGTCATGGAATAACTTTCCAAGAAGTTCACGGAGAGAAAAAGTCAGCCCCGATTAACGACGCAAATGAATGGCGGCAAAACAAGATGAAAGAAATCTTATGCTCCAGAAGACATTTATAATGCAGATGAAGCTGGGCTGTTTTTTCAACTCCTACCCGATCGAACATTGGCATTCAAGGGTGAAAAGTGTTATGGAGGGAAGAAATCAAAGCAGAGACTGACTGTTCTTCTGTGTACAAATACCACAGGAACGCATAGAATACAACCTCTCGTCATTGGTAAATCATTGAAGCCAAGGTGCTTTAAGAACGTGAAAAGTCTTCTCGTGGAGTATAAAGCAAATAAAAAGGCTTGGATGACGTCTAAATTTTTTTCCGAATGGTTACAGAAGTTAGACATTGAAATGAAGAAGAGAAAAAAATCGTTTTGTTGATAGATAACTGCGGTGCTCACACGTCATTTCCAAAGCTACAAAATATCGAAATCGCTTTTTTCCTGCCAATTTCACTTCAATTTTACAGCCTCTTGATATGGGCATAATTAAGTGCTTCAAAGGATATTACAGAAAACGGTTGGTAGACTCCATACTTGTAAACTTTGAAAATAAAGTAGAAGACCCTTTCAAAGCTGTAAATGTCAAGGAAGCATGTGACAATATTGCTGGAAGTTGGTGGGAAGTAACAGAAAAAACCATTTGGAATTGCTGGAAAAAGGCCGGTCTTTGTGTTATGGAAGATAAGAAATCTGATAATGATGAAAATTCCATAGACAATGATCTCTCAGATGATCAAGAATGTGTTTTGCACATCAAAAAATCCGTATCCCAACTTGAGGAAACAAGCGGTGGTAAAATGTTTGGAATTAGTATAGAAGACTATTTAACAGCAGATGATGATCTTATGATTTTCGCAGGAGTTACTGATGAAGATATTCTCTCTGAAATTACTGATGAGATAGGAAACAATGATGAAGATGATGATGATATGGATGATGATGATAATACAGGTCCATCGCAGTCCTTATTGTCATCCCAGGAAGCTCTTCAATCTGTGAATTCTCTACGGACATTTTTTTCAAGCCTTCCGTCGACAAATGAAGAACATTTTTGTGCACTAGACTCAATGCATACAGTATTGGTGAACTTAAACAGTTAAAAAAATCAATAAACAAACAAAAATATTGGATATTTTCAATAAAAAATGTTTTCAGGTATGTGAATATTTCTGTGTTTTATTCTCTGAATTTATCTTATTTATTTATTTTTTTAGTATTTTAAACCACTATTATTAGTATTTTACAAATTAATTTCTTCTAAATATAGACTTAAAAGTAGTATGTTATGCACCTTAAACTAATAATAATAATAAAAAAAAACTCTTATTAAATGCTCAAAATATGTGGGCCCTGGATATAACAATATGCCTCTATACAACAATATATTTATTTGGTCCCTAAAATATTGTTGTAATGAGGTTTCACTGTATTAGGTTGGTACATAAATTCATGTGTTTTTGTTTAGTTTTTTTTTTTTTTTTTTTTTTTTTTTAAAGCTGACACAGAAAAGTAGTTGTATTCAAAATGTAGCATGTAATATTGTATATCCAAATCATATTGAATTGAATGATTATGGCTAATGGCTTCATATTTTTAGGTTCTTAAATATGGCATATCAAGAAGTTTCATTTATGACATCTTTTCATATACATGCCAAAGAGGCTTCTAAATATATTTATTATTTAGAATTCATCATTTATCATCTTGTATGATAATTTGTACCAGAAAAGTGCAGTGTTATTGAGAATATTCTTAATAATATGTATATAAAGTACAGAATTGTGTATGAGAAGAGGCTGATTTTTGTGGTTGTCAAAAAGACTCCAGTTTAAAGACTTTTCCCATGTGATGCATGTGTCACAGAACTGTCATGATCATTATCTATTTATTTGGTTGGTTCATTGTGTGCTCTGATTATTCAATCATTCTTCAGCAAAGTATAACAGAACACAAAAGAAAAATCATATGTAAAGCAAAATTTTTATCTTTTAATTGGCAAACTGTTTTCACATTTCCTCGAGAGCAGTATCATCTCACTGTTCATAACACAAATTTGTTGAATGGCATATGTGGCTGAGGATCCTTCATATAAGAGATGATGTTAGAAGTTGAGTTTATTGTGTACTTGCCATTCCATATTTCAAAGTTTGAAAGGAAAAGGCCATTTACCACAGTCGCACAACTCGATGTGATTTGAATATACATTATTCATAACTGGATTTCAATTTACGAGGGCCATCCAGGAAGTAGATTACGTTTCCGTCTGTGTCCGCTAGGGGCGGGGCTAGCGCGGCCATCTTGGGGTCAGAGCGTTGTGCAGCTCAGTCTGCATCTAGCCGTGCTAGTGAGAGGTTCGTGCTGTGCTCCGTTCAGATACTGTGACGGTTTGAAATGTCTGCGTTAATTGAAAATCCCGCGAGCTGCGAGGTGCGCTCAGTAATAAGGTTTCTGACTGCAAAAAACTGTAAACCGATAGAAATCTATCGGCAGCTTCGTGAAGTGTATGGGGACAACATTATCACTGAAGGTGGAGTGCGTCAGTGGGTCATAAGATTTCAAAATGGCCGAACCAATGTTCACGACGAAGATCGAAGTGGGAGACCCAGCATAGTGACCGCCGAACTTCTCGAAAAAGTCGATGCTAAAGTCCGTGAAAATCGAAATTTCACAATAACGGAACTTTGAGTTTTCCACAAATTTCGCGAAGTTTGTTGCACGAAATCATCAGCGAAAAGCTTGGTTACCACAAGTTTTTGTGCAAGATGGATTCCAAAAATCTTGACAGAGGACCACAAAAATCAGCGAATGGCTGCAGCGTTGAACTTTTTGGACGCTTACCATAAGGATGGTGACTCTTTACTCGATCGCATCGTTACTGGTGACGAAACATGGGGTGAAACATGTGAACTGTGAAACGAAATTGCAATCAATGCAGTGGGGGGCACACAAGTTCTCCCCAAAAACCCAAGAAATGCATGCAAACAATGTCGGCAAGGAAGATGATGGCGACTGTTTTTTGGGACAGAAAAGGTGTAATTTTGGTGGACTTCCTGGAAAGAGGCACTACAATAAACTCTCAAAGGTATTGCCAAACTCTCCAAAAACTCAGAAGAGCAATTCAAAACAAGCGCAGAGGAATGTTGAGCTCTAAGATCTTGTTGATTCACGACAACGCCCGGCCCCACACGGCAAATGTCACTCGTAAAGTTCTTGAATCTTTTAAGTGGGAGTTGTTTCCTCATCCGCCGTACAGTCCCGACCTGGCACCGAGCGACTTCCACCTATTCCCAGCAATGAAGAAGTGGCTGGCTATGCAGCGTTTTGATGACGACGCACAGCTGCAAGAAGAGGTAACGAAGTGGTTGAAGGCGCAGGCGGCCGAATTTTTCGACGAAGGAATTTCCAAGCTCGTACATCGCTACGATAAATGCCTTAATTTGTATGGTGACTATGTAGAAAAGTAGTATTTGAGTGTGGCTTTCATCTGTATATAATAAAATTTGTTTCCTATACTTTGTTTATTTTTTTATTCCAAAACGTAATCTACTTTCTGGATAGCCCTCGTATAACTGTCCATCTGCATGATCCCTATTATCCTGCAAAATAAAATTCCTGGATTAAATCATCGATAAATAAAATAGCATTAATTAGCAAACATTATTGTTCTTCTTCGTGTATATATTTTTATTATATGTTTTCTAATTAATTAAAGTTCTTTCTGTTCATTTGAAATAATTTATATTTTTTCAGCACTGATACTTATCAGATTATGTATCATGTGAAACTTCCATTTATTTATTTTATGTAAACTTCTAACATTTCAGGGTGTTCTGATAGATGCCTGTGTGATAGAAAAAGATTCAGGGTTATTGCAACAAGTAAGTGCTTAAAATTTGCAGTAATTTTTTTTAATTGCTTTAAATATTGGTGTAATTGGAAAGTGTTGGAATAAAGCTATTAAGAAACGAAGAAAAATAAAATACACTGCTGGCCACCCAAATTGTAACACCAAGAAAGACAAGAGATATCACAACAAAATTTATTTAGTAGATAACATGTTGACCAAGTATCAAATGATTAAATTTATAGACTTCTGTGAAGTGTGTTTCCTTTCAGAATCAGTAGCCAGAGAAGCCGCCATTGTTGGAGATCACCGCTGCTACACGCCTCAGCATTGATTCAAAGAGACTTTGAATGTGTTCTTGAGGTACAGCAGACCAAGCAGCTTCCACACGTTGCCAAAGTTGATCTGGTGTGGCAGCTTGGGATGTAATCTGGGTCAATCGTTCAGCAGCCATGGATCAGATGTTTTCTATCAGCAAAAGATTCCGAGAGCGAGCCAGCCAGGGAAACAATTCAATCTGGTGATTGACGAAGAACCCTTTGACAATGCGTGCCACGTGTGGTCGTGCATTATCCTGTTGAAATATGGCTGTGGGCTAGCCCTGAAGGTAACGAAGGACACCTGGCTCCAACACCTCAGAGATGTAGTTCTGGCTGTTTAAAGTAACCGCAAAGCATACTAGAGGAGTGCGAGAGTGATATCCAATACCGCCCCCATATCATAATACCCGGTGCAGGACCAGTGTGGCGGTGCATAATGCAGCTGTTCCACATCCTCTCTCCACGGTGTCTCCAGACTCGAATCTGACCATCATGGTGTTGCAGATAAAAGCGTGACTCGTCAGTAACGACAATTTCATTCCATTCTGCCATCCACATCCTTCTTTCATTGCACCATTGGCGGCGGAGATGTCTGTGGTTCTGCATCAAGGGTAGACGAAGCAATGGACGTCTTACAGACCACTCTGCTGTAAATGGCATCAAGTGGTACGCGTAGACACTGGATGATGCGTTACAGACTGAATGTGCTGTGCTATGGTTCGTGATGTGACTGAGCCATCCGTCACTGCCATGTTCACAGTGTTCTTGTCATCACGTGAAGTGGTACACTGAGGTGGATGCAATTGAACACGTCGGTCTGTCGTACCCTTCTGCAGCCAACGGTCACATATCCACATTACAGTTGTTTGGTTTCATCTGACACGACTACCGATTTTCCTGAAAGATAATCTACACTCTCGGTAGGCCACTATCCTTCCTCTGTCGAACTCGGATACTTGATGAAATGATGGTCACTGTTTACTATGAGGCATAATTTTTTTTTTTTTTTTGAAAAAAACCACAAGTAAAACACAATTGCCGAACTTGAAACCATCGAAAACTCCAAGCCTTAAATAGTGCTTTGAAGTGGCGCTACAGGCGCATGTGATGTGTGTCTGCGCTGAAATTCTAATCATTTGCATATCTTACTTACGCTAATGCATGTTGTAAATTTCATGTTATTTGCATGCTTCCTTCAGGATGTTGCATTTACGGTGGCCAGCAGTGTATATCACAGATTCCATGAAGTAATCACCTGAAGCCACACACTTTATCCAATGTTGTTCTACTGCTGTATTCTTTTTCTGGGATAATAAGTGTTGTCTTGTCATCATTTTCTCTTGGATTTTGTCAACATCTTGGAATCTCTTATGTTTCAGATGGGATTTGATTATTGGAAGGCAGATAGGATTGAGATCTGGAGATTAGTGACTTTTTAGGTGGGAGAATTTATGTTGGGTCGAAAACAGCTGCACAAGTTGATCTGAATGGGCAGGAACATCATCATGAAATTTGGTAGCATTAATGAAACAAGCAAACTTTGGTAGCACTGAAACTCATGAGCATATGTGAAGCCAAATACTTAAAAAAAGTATTTGGTTTCACATCTGCTCATGAGTTTTAGTGCTCCACACAACAGATTTTATATAAAATATTTCAAGAATTCTAGGATGGTCTTAAGCTGTATCAGTTTTGAATAGGTTACTTTACGAACATGCACTATTTCATTGCATGCAATCTTCCAATATCTACTGGCTAAGTGATGGATGTACAGTTTCAAGAAAAGATTAAAATGGAGATGTTATCATTTTCTAAAATTTTGATTTGATAAGATTAATGATAATAGACTGAAAAAATAATAAGCTGCATCAGATCTGAAAGTCAAAGAATACCGCAATTAACAATGCTAAGTGAGCTTCTTCCTCCTTTGCTATGATAGTATCCAAACACACCTGGTCTTTAGGGTTCAGTAATTGTGTGCAGAGCTAGATAAGCCAAACAATACTGCTTCCCTCACAGTTACTTAAAGGCCAAAAATAAGCGAGTGTTTTATTTTATTTATTTATTTATTTATTTTTCTTTTTTTTTTAAGCCAACAGATGTTTAAAGTAAAACTGATATGCATAATGATTCAATACTGACATAAATACTATTTCCCTGCAAAAGAAATTTGAGCTAATCAGGAGAGAAATTAATGCAGTAGTCTTGTATTTTCTTGAATATCATATTCACTATTTCTATGCTAAGAAAAAGGAAATTTGTTTTTTTTTTTTTTTTGAAAAAGGAAGTATTATGATAGGTCTGGAATACTATATTATTCTAGTCATTGGACGTGTGGATTTTGGACTTTGAAAAATGTAACATATCATGCCGCTCACTTCATAATAATAATTATTATTTATTTTTTACTTGCACATTTTCCTATGAACCACTATTGGCAAACAAAAACTATTTCTAAGCAACACAATTTAGCACCAATAATGGATAAGCATGACATCACAAAATACTTAATTTCAGATTAGTTTTATGTACCACAAACCACAGTGAGGCAGTTTAGTTTTTGTAAAGTTGTAAATTAACTAGTAGTTCTATGTTTTTTCTCTTCTGTTTTGGGGGGGAAACAAAAAGAATGAAATTTCAGATTGCTTCCTACAGAACAGCAGTGGAGTATTTTCAAAAATTACGAGACTGTTGTGCTGGTATGTGTAGTCACGACACTGAATGAGTCTGAAGTTCAGCAAAATGTTTAGGTAAAAAAAAAAAAAAAAAAGAGCAACTGTGTGACACCATTTAGATTTGTGTTTAAGGGAATTTAATTTGCACATAATTCACAAAGATGACTGATTTGTTGCTAAATAAATGTCATTTGGGAATTTTGGCTACCAAAATGATTGATGTAACTTTAATGAACTTTCAGATGATGATTTAAATAATTAGGAGCTCAAAGTTTGAGCTCCTAATTATTTAAATATTTAACATGCTATATCCTTAATTTGTATCTATTGATTAACTAACTGAATAAAAAGTGACTTTTGATTATCTCTAATTAAATAAAAAAATTATTTATTTCCTTCAGAGTTTCTCCCAAATGATTGCATAAATTTGGTAGTAAACTTTCATGATTTACAGGAAAATATGTAAGTACTGTTTGCTTATTTATTTATTCAGGGCTGTGATATCACTGGTGGAATGTATTTAAAAGTACAAAATGTTACTGCTCTTCTGCAATATTTGTTAGTAAGTAGATTTGTTTTCCTGCTTCTTATTCATTACTTTTATATCATGTTGATGATGTATACAAATCGTTAACTAAAATTGAATGCAAGCTGATATTGTATTCATTGAATTTCAAGGAAAATTCTGTTGTAAAAGTATTTCATATTTGAAACATTCAGTTGCTTATTATATCATGTAAAAGAGTATTAACACTAAAACTACTGGTGATCAGTATACACCTATTTCTGTCAAATAAGTGTTATGTTATAAATTTTGACATATTTGTAGATGTAGCATTAATTTGATGTAGCATTAATAAATTTTGACATATTTGTAGATGTAGCATTAATTTAAGTTACATCATCCTTTTATCTAATTAAGAATGATATGCTTTAAATCAGAGTTTCTTAAACTATTTCTTTAACTTATTATAATAATTTTACTATTACCAAATATTTTTACATAATGTATCTGAAAATAGATAAAGATAAGAAAATACAGACAAAGAAAAAAAAAAAAAAACTTTTCAATGCATTCTTTTTATAATATAAGCGTTTCATTTTACTTGCTTTGCACATGATGCTTTCATTTCATCTGTTACTTATTTAAAATGTTCACATTGTCATATGTCTTAAAATTAGAAATTAAAGTTAATGACATAAATCTGCAATTACAGTACAAGTGAACAAATTGACAGTTGGATTTGTGCAATGCTCATGGGGTCCCACAAAATTTTCGTAAATATTATGGGGTCACAGAAAAATCTCTGATAAAAAGGGATCATGACTGGAAAAAGTTTAAGAAGCCCTGCTTTAAATTAATATCTTAAATGCATATGAATTAAATCCCTTTAAGAATAAAAACAAAATTCATCAGACCTTTTCTCCCAACTAATAAGATTTCATATTGCGAATTAAAAAGTGGAAATTTAGGTTTTTCCTATTATTCTTTAAAGTTTGCTTCCTTCAGGTTTGCGGATGTTAATTAAATTTTTCTGAATTTTTCATACATTCTTTTGAAACTAAAAAACTGGCAGTATTAATCTGACTACAATTTATAAAATTTTAAATCTATAATGTTAAAAAAAAGTGGGGAAAGGGTACTTCCTTGTTAAAACAGTCACTGCAAGTACTTTGATAACATTTAAAATTAATTTGAGGAAAACTGGGAAGCTCTATGGCTACCTTCAAAAAATGAGAAACTGCAATCATACAATGTAATATGTGTAACATTTAGTGTAGAAAGTGTCAAGGCTGTGCATGATGCCAAATTTTTGAAATTGTCGGGTGTTTTTTTTTTTTTTTTTTTTTTTTTTTTGAGTGAAAATAGATCTTTGTGTACATGAAGAAAACAAAATACTATATTGCATACGGCCGGCTGCATAAATATTTATAAGCAAATATATTTAAATAAGGATTATGGGATACATTAATCATACATACTGTATTATTTGATACATTATATATGTATTATGTGATACATTACCATTGTTCTCCCAATTTACAATGGCCCACCAGTGGCCGAGTGGTTAAAGTCACTGAACACTGGTAGTTCGGTCCAAGATGCGAATCCCGCGAATGGGCTGGCTGCATGGACGTTTTCAGGGTTTTCCTCATGTGTAACGTGTATACGAGCCAGTTTCTCTTAGAAAGTCCTCCACGAAGGCATCCCTTCCCTTAGGCAGATAGCCCTAGTGTGCTTTGCCATAATTAAATAAACCAAACCAAACCCAATTTACAATGGTACTAGAAATTTTGACCCAAAGTAGCAAGACAGGAATTGAAAAGCTGCAAAAAGTAGCTCATGACGTCAGATATCGCATGATTTTTGTGATGATCATAGATCATAGATTCTGATGTCACTCAGTGTCCGAAGGTTCCATGGTTTAAAATCATTATTCAGTTCTTGGTTTTTAGCTTACATATATTAGCTTTGATGACACTTTTAAAAACAGATTGTTAGTTTTCCATTGTTTAAATTTCCATTTCTTCTTTTGAGTAATTCTTTAGTTAATTTAGTGTTATTTTTCAGTTAATTTATTCATATCCATTGTTAGATGCTTTCTCATATTTGGATTGTCAATATTAATGCATTTTAAGTTGGTGTTTCATTTTTTTTATTCATCGTTTCTTGATTTGTTTTAAGTATTAAAACTTTTAATTTAATATTTCATTCTAACTGTAGAACTTATTTCACTTCATCAGATTCTGTTTGTTAATGAAAAGCGATCTTCTTTCACAGTTAAATTTACTTACATCATTATTTAGAATATGTAAGTCATTTTATTTGCCTACTTCTTAGTAATAGTAATCAAGAGAATGAATTTTGAATGTATAGTGCATGGGCCACAAGCTGACACATGACCACAGTGAAACTTGAGGATGATGTGGGGATTGACTTAAAAATTAAACTCATAGATTATTAAAATCTCTGGTACAGTACAAAGTCCGTAATCCGGACGTCCATTATCCATAATGATCTGGACCTCAAAGCCACAAACTTACGCATACGCGTAATGTGTTTAGGCATGCACGTAAAGCCAGTAAAGCGTTTACCCATGTGCGCTTCCAATAGTGAAGAAAGTAACAGAGAACGTTATTGAAAACGAAAAAATTTCAATTAGTCAAGTTAGTCGGTATTCTCGACACAGCAATTACAGGACTTGAACAATCGAACTTTGTAACTGAACAAGAAATTATGTCTGTTTATAGAATAAAAGAGAAAGTATTAGCACAAAAAACGAAGCAACTTAAACAACCTACATGATAGAAATGTTTACTAAAGTAAACAAATAAATATTAAGCTATTTTTTATGGAAATTTTGGTACCCTGTAGATCATAATGGCTCTATTTCATAAATTACGGTTTCATATTTTTAATTGTATAATTTCTGCATGTCATCTTACTAAATTTAAATAGATGATGTATAATCCGAAAATACCCCTAATCCGGAATCGCCGAAGTCCCGACGAGTCCGGATTACGGACTTTGTACTGTATAACTTTTTATAAATTATCAGAGATTGTACGGTCTTTAAGAGTCCTTAAAAGTCCTTAGGATTTTTTGAATCAATTTTTGGTTTTTAAAAGTTCTTAATTTCAACTAAATCTGACAGGAGATCCGTAATTTTAATCATCTGAAATTTCTGTCTGTTTTTATGACTACCATTTTGAATGTGAATTAGCATTTTGGACAAATATTTTTGGCGATTCATTGATAAATATTGTAATCTTTTGGAAAAATGAATAGTTCATGGATTATAATTTGTTCCTATTTCTAATATAAACGGTGGGGTACTCAAGTTTCTGAGCAAGAAGTAAAACATAAGCATTTTGAAATTATTTAATTTTTTCCAATGAAGAGTTCTTAAAAAACTTTTCTCTTTTGGGAATGTTAATTCTGTATTAAACCGTTCAAAATTTGGCGATTTTAAGATCAGTTTCTGTAGAAAATTCTTAATTTGGAAATCTGGGAATTTTTTACAATATTTTTTTAAAACATTCTAACATTGATCAATTTCTTAAAAAGATGCTAATATATTGAAAGTGCATCCAAGAAATAACATTCAAATAAAAAAATTTTTATTTTTCGCTATGATATTATAAAGTGACATTACTTTCCATTTTGGCGACTTATTATAGAATATTTTGAATCTGGAAAATTAGCGAGGTAATAAATGCTTAAATTGCGCCTTAGCACAGTATACAAAACAATTCTTAATGAAATCAAAGTACTGTGCAATTAATTAAAAATGCTTTCATTTAAATTTTTTTCTTGGTAGGAGTTTTTCTCATGTAATTGTTTCAATATGAACTTTCTGTATAAAATTAATTTTACACTTTTTTCATGCTTTTTTTTTAACATATTCCTGGCTTTTGCTGTTATAGAATTGGTAGGAGTAATTTTTCTTTAGGATTTTAGACATTGCAATTTAGAAAGTTTAGAAGGATTTGAAGGCAAGATTTCTAGACTTATGAATCTAGAAGATTCCAGAAAAATATCTTCATGGTGTTATCATGTAATGGATGTATTTTACAGAAAGTTCCTGATGAACTTTTACTTTTTGGAGAATTTTCAGAAGAACACTGAAAAGATAGTATTTGAATGTTTTACTTCTAATACTAGAAGTCTTAACATTTTTATCTTCCCTTTGTTTTCTTTACTTTTCACTAGACACAAGCATGCAAAATATCAAAAATGCTTCTAATCTTATCACATGGACAGGCATTTATAGAAAGTAATTTTTCTATTAGTAAAGAAATTGAAAACTTATAATTTAAAAGATTCTTATATGTCTCAATGCATCATCAGTGACATTGCTAGGGTAAAGGGTAAACTCTCTAAGAAGGCCTCCATCCTAAGGACAAACCAAGCGGAGAAATGCCAACTCAGAGGAAAATTCGAGAGAACCTGGCCGACTGAATATTTGTAGCTTAGATTCAGGTAACTGTTGTCTCTTTAAATACCGTAGACGTCTTGCATGGTGATGCTGCATACAATTCACTGATGTATGTTGCATACAGTAAAAATGTGTTGCCTAGAAGGCACAGTTACACTACATAACTCTGCACTTACATTTAAACTATGCAGATGATAAAACAGTACAGAATACGATACATTACATTACATGAAGATAGTGTGGTATACAGTACATTGATTAGTGTGCAGTTTACAGTTTGACATGCACAGTTTACATTACATTTAAAATAAGCAAATGAGGAAACAATACAGTAAAGAATAAATTACATTGCTTGAGTATACTGTACAGTATACAATACATTAACATCAGTGAGTACAGATTTAACATGCACTGTCTGAGATTACTTAGAATGTTAGTGTAGTTGAAGAAATGACATGATTATATATAAGAAAGAGCAATATCAAGGTAATGCACATTTAATACATGGGTGTATATACTGATAGAATATATACTGTTTCAATTAGAATGCAGAATAGGATACTGGATACATTTGCAGATTAGACGACGGACTAAAATGGAATAGAATTTTACACATACTTTA